AATCTTGAAAGCAGACCACCCACTGGTTTGAACGCAAGAATACTCTGTTGGTTGCTGAAAAGTAGGAGAGAAACTATTCATTCATTTAAAAAAATTCAGAAGTCTTTCTGTATGGTCTTCAACAACATGCATTCCTAACTGAATAATATATAATTCATGTGTGTTTTCTTCTTCCAGATTTGAACTGAATAAATACTCTGTCTGATTCTTTACTGTCCTTAGAAAAAAAGAAATTATATTTTATCTTCTTTCACAGCTGCTCCAAGTTCCATATTTATAGTAACTCAGGGTCAAGCTATACCACGTAAAGAAAACTCTATAAGTATCAGTGGTACAACACTACATGGACTGTAGGGACTTACAAGTAAGTATGTAAGGCCTAAAAAATATGCATTTCTTGGGCCACCCTTGAGGCATCATCATTCATGCAAGAAAATTTTTATTTCTGAACTGTTCTAAATATACTTGTTCAATTATATCTCTAATGTATTGCAGATTAAATTGCATAATGGGACTATAAAAGGTTTGTTCACTAAACATTGCCTTGAAAGAATGTTAATAAAATCATTTTTAATCAATAAGGTATTTTTTCTTTTTAAACCCTCAAAAATTTCCTGTTGAATAGTTCAGATAATCTATCAAGTTCTACCCTCCACAGGACACATCTACACAAGATACTGAATGTGCAGTAGCTGAATAATACTGCACAGTAGTGTGTCACAGCATGGACAGTGCTAATACGCTGCTGCATGGTATTATTAGGCTACTGTGTAGTAGCATCACTTAAAAGATGTCCACCAACACTACTGGACAGTAATTCCAGTTACTGCACATTTATTTAGTGCTTGCTAATACAAGTCCTAAATAAATGCACAGTGATGACTGAACAGTTGCCTCTTGTATACATGCACCCATTGAAGTGTTTTTGTTTTGGTTTCTTTATCTTTTAGAAATGAAACTCTTCAGACTTATGGTACAAATCTTTCCAATATTTAATGTTTGAATATTTCTTACATGTACGATACAACCCTTACATGGAGAATGTGTATGAGTCAGCATCCAGATCCATCAGGAAGATTATTTCTCTCTCTCACTCTCTTGACAGTCGGTATATATATACACTGTGACATTCAGTAATATAGATATATCTATATAGATATCTATATATAGAGAGAGAAACAAATAATCTACCTGATGGATCAGGATACTGACCACTAGGAATGTGCGAAATGGGCTGTATTTGATTTGGATTCAGCCCAAATCAGGGACAGTAATTCAGTTTGTTGATTCGGAACACTGTCCTGATTTGATTTGGCTGAATCTGAATATTTGATGCTGATTCAGAGAATCAGTAATTCGGCCACAGACACAGCTTTAAATGTTTTTTCTACATACTTCAAGGTAACAGGCGCGGCTCATGAAAACTGCGATGGTGGGGGTGGATGGAGCGTCCCAAAAGAGCACAGGAGGGCCTCTCCAAGTGCTCAGTGATGACCCTGGAAGTGGACCAGAAGTGTTTCTGGTTTATTTCCAGGCCTGCTGCCAAGCACACTGGGGACACCCCTGCACTCCTGTGGGATGCTCCATCCGCCACACCATTGCCAGGGTTCATGAGCCACCTGGTACCTTGAGGTATGTAGAAAAAACATTTAAAGCTGTGTCTATGTCGGAATCGTCGAAGCTTTCCGAATCTCTCCAAATCAACCTGGAGGGTTCCAATTCAATTCGGAGAGATTAAAGGGTCCTCTGATTCGACTCAGATTCGGAGATTTGGCCACTGAATTGGTCCAAATCTCCACCACATCAAATCAGGGACTGAAGCTTTGCACAGCCCTACTGACCATATATAGACACGCCATATATACATATACACATACACACACATATATACACACATATATATATATAATTAGAAAAAGAGAGAGTTTTAAAACTATTAATTTCCTGGCACAAATACATTTTGTGGTAAGTCACTAAAATTAAGTTTACTGAACTGAATGAATGTTGTGACACTGAACAAAGAAATCCAAGTAAAAGAATGTTAATCCAATCTACAGTTATGACATTTCCATGTCAAGCCAAAAGGAAACGGTGACAATGCTATAAAAATAACCTTATTTTGTCAAGACAGTTGCAAAATAATGACAATGCTCAGGAAAGTCTATGATGGTGTTATTATTCTTGCTGAATGGCTGAAATACCCTTAGATTGTTCTAATTGTGTTCAGGGCACAGAAGGCACAGAGAGGCTCGTCCTACAGCTATCAGTGTTCCTCGACTCAAAGCAGTGAGGGCTGGCAGGATCAGCAGGAAGGCTAGTCTCTGAAAATACTGGCAGGTCTCTCTCTGAAGGAGAAGGTGGTAGTCAGATGAGAGGGTAAGAAACTTTACCTATCCTTTTGTTCTGTCTTCAGACTTAGGGTCAGTTTTTCCTGTGTAATTCTTTTCTCCTATATAATAATTCCCTTGTTGCTTTGTCTCCTTACTGACTGCCTGTAGTAAAGAGTGATCTCTGGGTGAGAAACATTGAGGCTATCCCATTCTATAGAATGGAGGACCTAATAATTCTCTCTCAACCCAAGGGGAGGCCACCTAGCATTGAGAGATTCTCTTGCTACAGCTGTTAGGTCTGATTTAAAGGGCAGCAGAGCTGAGTCTTGCATGGATAAGGAGTTATCCCAGGGTCTGTTCCTTGGGACAAGCAGTGGGACAATGGGGAGAAACTTGGGGGTTCCCTGCAAATGGGTTTGTGACGACACCAAACACTTCTGTATTTAGGGACACTATCAATTGCCTATACCCCTGATACACATTACATTTAAGATGTGATTAACAAGTTAGCCATGCCTTAAATAGCAGCTGGCCATACATGCAGTTCAATTTAAGGCATGATAATACAGAAAATGAGCCACAAAGTTATTCCACATATAACACATAATGTTATAACCTTAAAAGGAAGAGATTAAAAAACCTCTCCAATATTCAGGATACACACCCTACAGTGCTAGGTAAAGAAAAGTACGTATCAGAAATCTGCCTTCTTTCTGAGTGGAACAGAGATGGATAATACTGAGAAGAGATGGGGTTCTGATGTTAAATTCAAGTGACATGAAAACTAAACAACTCTGTCCAAGCTATACCCCTGTCTCAATGCATTTTCTCAAGACCTAGAGGGAAAGCAAATAGGAATGAGTTTCTCCAAGAGAAAAGTGTCATCTAAAATGAAAGCCTTGCTCTGAAGGGAAAAAAAAGGAGAAAAATAAAAAAAAATAGATTTATTTAAAGAAAAAATAGGTAATTTACAGATACATGAATGAAAGTATCATGGTAAGAAACAGACAAAACATGAAGGTCTGCCATCTGAGAAGAAGTGCCCCATCAGAAGACTTAAGGAAATATATTCTAAAACTCTTTTTGGTAAACTAAAAAGGTACAGATAGGTTAGTGTGTCCATTCCTATATGTTTCATAAAAATCCTGCAGCCTACCAAACTGGTATGCATTCCCTTGGCTGTAGAGGAAGTTAAAGGAAACACTAGTCAAGGACAGAAGAAGCTTGGTCTTATGACTGAAGCACTGGACTGGGTTCCACTAAATCTGGTTTTAATTCTTGGCTCTGTATAGGTTTGTTTGATCTTGTGCAAGTCATTCAATCTCTGTGAGCAATTTCCAGTTTCTGCAATGGGCATAATATTTTCTTTTATCCATCCATTGTCTAGGTCAGTAGTTTTCAACCTTTTTTAATAAGTGTACCCCAGCGGCCAGATGCAGGAGGAGGTGGGGATGTGGCATATGGCCAGGGATGGAGGGTGGTGGTGGCCACACATTGGGCAGCAGCAGTGTGGTGTAGTGGGTGGCAGCGGTGGGCATATGCAAGCTCCCCCCTCCCCATACTGTGTCCCGCTGGCAGGGCAGCGCCTGTGTGGCCCACAGCTGGGTACTGCTGCCCTCACCACCCCCTACCTCCCTTCCCAGCCCTGATCCTGGGAGGCAGTGGCACAGGAGGGTGGGGGGCAGCACTCTGCCCCTACTGTGCATACCCCCTAGGGCCTTCCCAAGTATTCCCGGGGGTACGTGTACCCTGGACTGACAACCCCAGGTCTACGTTATTCATTTAAATAGAAAGCTCACTGAAACAAAGAATATCTTCCCTTGTGCCTGGGCACATTGCCTGGCCCAATGGACCCCTATGTCATTTGGTATCCCCAGGCACTATCAAAATCCAAGTATATAAAAAACAATCACTAATATCCTTAAAACTTAAAAACTAATCTCTCTGAAAAATAAATTCTCCCTAACACTATCTGGATATCTCTGGTAAATCATGAACACCACACATACAACCAGAGCCGTTTTCTCTTAAATGATTGGTAGAAATGACCAGGTAGTAACCAAGAATATGGATTTCAATTTTAACTTGCCAAGAGTACAAAGTCTCTCACAGAACTAGCCCACTGCTCCTTTAACAAGAACATTTTTGACAAAAAATATTCTTTCCCAGTCAGTAATTTAGAGGTTCATTATGCTTCTTGGGGTAAGATACTGTTTGAGATCCTGAGACTGACTGGATCTGTAGGTGGTGCTGAAATACAAATATTAAATCATTCTATATACAGTAATTAGTAATAATTTTGATGTCTATCAATTCGTGCTCTCTAAACTTAAATCCAAACCATAAATTGGGTGTGTGTAGTTTCACTTTATTTAAAAAAATAATTTTAAATAAACTTAAATAAATGAAAACCACAAGAAACTGATATTCAGATTATTGTATGCATTCTCTATTAGTAAAATATCAATACATGTCATAAGCTCGTTTGTAAATACTATATTAATAATAAGAGGTATAACATGTTTAGGTTCCGATTCAAGTGAACACTTAAAATGATACAAGGGCTCATAACATCGTTATTGTATTTATTCACATAAATTTTCATGACTCACATAGGATTACATAAGTGGCCATTATTACGAACTAAGCATAATATATAAAGTATCTTACCAACAATAGTCCAGCAGGTGTGGAGGAAGGACTGGGATGTATATGTGTTGCCAGTACATTGGATATATCAATGCAGTTGACCCATGAACACAAGCAGTTAACTAAAAATAAAAATATACATATAAAGAATTAACAAATAATAGTACAAAGAAAGCAAAGAATTTAAAATAAAATGTTTATATTGTTAAATACTTAATTGCAGGTAAAAATAAAATATTAATATAGCATAGTTAAAGATATTTTTAAAAGTTAAGGTTCATCTACCATGAAACATGGTTACATGTTGAAACGTTTACAAAATGACAACGGGACACAAACAGACTGAAAAGTTAACCCTGCTTAACTAGCACCATCCCTCTACCCTCCAAA